CAACATTTGTGTGTTTATTGGCTAAGTATGAGGCTGTTCTTCGCGACCCTTTGGGGACAGTTTAGTCCGGAAGGAAAATCAGCGATTTTCTTTATCGCTACACCTTCAAAATGAATTAGTGAGCATTTTGGTAAAGTAGGTGAGAAAAGAATTGTAGATCAAGTCAAGGAAAGCAAGTATATTTGCTTATTTTTTGATAGCACTCCTGATGTGTCCCATAAAAATTAGATGAGTGAAAATAAACTGACGACAGAGGAGTCGATTTTCAGCCTCCTTGAGAACAATAGCAAAAGAGCAGAGAAAACTTCTGGATGCGTTCTGAAAGAACCGGAGAAGGATTTTATTCGGATTAATGACTACGTGGCCAGGAATTTGACAATGTTGCTGTTATGACACGCTACCAATCGGGTGTGCAGAGACATCTGCGAAATCAACCCAAAGCTACATTTGTGCCATGCACTAACTACTTCCTGAATCTGGCTTGTGTTCATGTAGCTTCTGCGACCTTTCGTTCCGTTACATTTTTGGTACTTTGGACCGTATATTCTCATTCTTTATTCATCTCAACATTCATCTAAACACTGATTCAAATCATCGGTCTAAGTATCAAATTGCTGCAAAATCTAGGTAGAGTAGTCGAGCATTCGTTGTAAATGTTGTGGTGAAGAAATACTCGGAACTTATAACTTCTCTGAAACCCTTCACAGCATAAGGAGAGAATGCAATCACAAGATCACATGCATCAAATTTTCATCCCGGCATTGCCGTTTCCATTTGTCTTGTTTCTAAGCCTTTGGAAATCTGTTCTCATAGAAATCAAGGATGTACAGATATGTATAAACAAAAGGCTGGATCTGCAGCATAGCCCTGTCAAGCTTCCAATGTCAAGAATTCGCTATCTTCAGAAGAGAGAGCAAATGATGGACATCGCAATGGATGAATCCAAAAAAACACTACGCTGAATTGGGGATAAACATGATGCGTCGAATCCGCCAAAAGAAGCGAATGGACGGAAAAGAATCGCTTGATATATCGATGTGACTTGACTCTGTTAAAACGGGTACTGTTGTCTGGCATAGGCAGTTTGTGAAATAATACCCCGAGAAAACATTAGAAAAATGACGTAGCGAACAAGCTTGTTTTCAGTGGATCATCATCAGGCTAGTACAACTAATGAAATGCCATACATTTTAGCAAATTGATGACCTTGCAAACAAATGCGTTTTTCTTACGCCGTCAAATGAGCTTGATGATAACTGTGGTTCTCCGCTTAGCGAAGCTGAGGGAGATGCATATCACAGGAATTCTTTGCCGAGAGAACATTGCAGTATTTTTTGAATGCTTCAGGCAACAACAAAGTTAATGGACCTTCTGAACTTTTGAGGTTTACACAGAAATATGACCTTGGAAAATCTGCTGCGCGTCTTTCTTATTCCAACTATTAGTACCGACAGCTGTTGTGCTGGGGGCTGGAAATGCTGGTGACTGAAAACACTGTGGTGGTAAATTGCCACACTTGGATGCCGGTTGTTTAGGCATCTACCGAGCTAAACGATTTCGGGCCAACACTCTGAATGATGCTGGATCGCTACAAGAAGCGAACTGAAGGATAGTACGCGATAGATTTAGATCGACATGAACGAAGCTCGAAAGCTGGCCTCATGCTGAGGCTGATGTTGCATTCATGATGCTTCTTCACCGCAGTTGGGCTAAACCAACTTACACTTAAACTAGGTCTTTTTAAGCTGGATACATTTCATTCCACTTTATTTGGTTTGTTCTGCCTACCTGAAAAATGTTCTATTAACTGGCCAAGTTGCTTACGCCAATTGCGCTTATCTTCGGTAACTTTTTGCGTTTCCAGCATTTTTAAATAACCTATGGACATTTTTTCCTTATCGCGGATTCGTTGCTAACCAACATACTTCATATGGTAATTTAGCGAAGAGTTATGCCACCGTATTTATATGCATTATTGGATTTATTTTATTTTAGCTTGTCGTTTCAAGTGAATGGTTGTTGGTTGATATCCCCGGTGTGGCTGCGCTTGATGTGCATGTTGACAAGGTGCCTACCTGTCTATTACTCACTACCTCGTTCATACTTACTCTAGGAGACAGTTGGTCATTGCTGGCGGGGACGGGGTGCACAGTCCTTGTGGCCGTGCTAGGCTCAAAGAGCGGTTCCATGCCCTCAGTGTGGAGCGGACTACGGTCCAGCCACCGCCTTGTGTGCGCTTGATTCCCCAAATACAGTGTGCTTGTGTTTGCCTGTGAAGGAGTGTGGGCCGGCTCCGTTGATGAAACGTGGCTCCCATCCACATGCCTCGCGGTCTTATTCCCTCGGGTTTACACTGGATATGGGGTGTGTGGATGGAGCTGTGTGTGGTGCAGCGCAAGCCACCCATGGTCACTTTGTAGGCGCAGGCGTCCTGTGACTGTCCTCAGTGACAGGCAAATCCGAAACCGGATGCCGCCAAGCAATTGACGCGAGATATAAAATGAGCTTGTGTTCTATGGATAATAGATTTCTGATCGAGACCCAGACTTTGGCTTTTTGCTTCACGGAGGGTCACTTGACAGCTGTGAGAGCGAATTCCCAAAACGCAGATTTATACCGAAATACCTTTACTTATGAACATACCAAATAAGGCTCATGGATGGACAATTCTTCCATTACAAGGGGAACTTGCCAACTGGCTGAGGTTTATTAGTGTTATCCAAACAAATGCCTAAAGTAAAGCACCAAATGTGTATCGTTAACTTTTATACATTTTGTAACATTATACATATCTGCACTTACCACAGCGTTCTAAAATCAGATCTTTGATTGCATTTATTTGGAACGAAATGTTGAACGGCAATTCGCAATTGTGGCTGTTTCCGAATTTACAACTGCCAGGGTGGGGGCGACACTTTTATGTCTGCCATGGGAGGCAAAAACAAACTCCACATCACTGACCACATTGGGTTATTTCAACATAACTCACAGAGACGAACTGTATGCCCGTGTCATACTATGGTCTCACTACGATTAAGCTTACAATTCTTTGAAGGTGCCAATTTTTTCAGGCTGCTTGTAGGAATGGTTACGGGTTGCTTCAGAATAATGTTATGGTGATGTATGTAATTGAACTTCATGGATAGGCACGGCAATGTAGCTTTGATATCCTGAGTTGACTATAACCCTGCTAATATTTTGGGTATCATCAAATCCATGGTTTGACTAATCCCGTTGGACATCTACTGCGCGAACAAGGCATAGACTCTGCTTCCGTTCGCTCATGGGTCATAAGCAAAGTTGTTGAACAAATAGTGTTCTGTTGACGCAACCACTTTCCACATGGCATAGAGTAGATAAATTGGTCACACGCCTTGTAAGCAAGGAGACTGATGGCTGTCAATCCTCACTTTTCGGTTCATGTTAATGGGCTCAACAACTACCAGCATATAATTTTATGTTGTGACTTTCAAAATAACCGCGCGAAAGTGTTATAAACGTGCTAGGCGGTTTCGACTGCCCTAGTCGGAAAGGACAAACTCTCACGCCTTGGTTCCCATGCGTTACGTAGCCTGGACGATACGAATCGGAACGACTTGTGAACTTAGCCGGCAGACGGGAACCCCTAACTGCGAAGGTAGACGGAACGCGTAAACGCTGCACCACTATCCCGAGACTCGGAGTAAGAAGAGTGGCCAATAGTAAGAGGGCTTTTACTGACTCAACCAAAGCAACCGTGCTCTTTACACCTTCATATTTTAGTTCACTAAAGACTAGTAAATGTATAAACTATAGGGAAATGTGTACTTTTATTGGCACATAAGTTGCTTTGTCATGGACGTATTTCCGGGCAGAGATGGGGTGGGGTCGATACTACTGAGACGTTCGATACATCCCATGGTTTAGCTTGCTTGGTTGCTGAGGCATTGTCATGAACACAGCTCAGGAGGCAAACTGTTGCCTAGGTCGAGTGCAGTGGGAACTGGGCGGGATACGTTGGCCGCGTTTTCACTGAGGACAACTCATTTGTAATCTTCGGAGATGAATGAACCCATGGCGGCAGTTTCCGTGGGGAGAGCCCCGCTCTTAACTGCTGGTACCGCCCTGCCAAACTGAAGGAACATTTAACTTTTGGCATTGTCATGGGGCACAAGTATCCCCACAAGATCCCACAAACCGAAACCACGTAATGTAAAGGCATTAACACTTATGTTCAGTCAGCGTCCATGTTTACAATATTTATAATAATAACGTATATTTCTCGTGGTAAAGAGAAACCGTGCCCACAAAACACGGCTCATATTTACATTGCAACATGCTCATGCATGCGAGGCTGTCAATTGTTTGGGTTTGTACAGGGTTACAATAGAGATGTTTTTTCAAATAATTTCATTTGGGACTTTTGTCTCCTTATGTTATCAGTTCGTGGGCATTCTTATTTGGTTGTTTTCGATGCAGCTTGGTGGTGCCATGATGGCAGTGGTTTGAGGAATTCACTTTTTCCGACCAGCCTACACAATTATACTATTTTCACCTTGCGAAATGTTCCGCTTACATTCGTATTGTGTCTATTGTTTGATTGCTCCTTGCTTTCCTGTTTTAGCCTACAAAGACTGTACTATGTGTTGGGTCGGCAAAAGGGCGTACTGCGAAGGACTTATTTCACTACTCTGTCTGTTCCCATCTGCTTGTGTAGTCAAGTGTGGAGTACGCGTTCTTTCTATAGTCACTCGATTCAGATCGAGCGCAGAAAACGTTAGTCGACTAAGTCTCACAGGTAGTACGAATCGGAAACTGTTGTTTATTTTGCTTGTGTTTGTGTACAAGCCGAAAGTCACTCCTTCCTTTCGACGAAGACAGTCGTTTCAACCAGACATTGATAACAACTGTTTACTTCATAGAGCTAACATGGAGTTAGTTTAGTTAATGTTTTCAAAACTTCTAAAATTTCTTCATTACGTCCATTTCAGCCCCTGTGAACTGAATCCATGGGGATATCAATGGGCTCTAATCAACCTCAGTTCTTCCCATTGGAAACGTCAGAGATCCCTTTGACCAGTGACAAGTACCACGGTTTGTCCTACCCCAGTGAAACAAAAGACTATCCTTCTGTGGATTATCAATCGTCGGAACAATTTTCCCGTAAAGCCAATAACTCTGTGGAAATTCGGCGATCATCCTACCAGGCAGCGATGTACACAATCGATTGCCTTCTGTCTCCCTCTTCTCCTCCTCGGCTCACGAACGATACATCATCTTCTACTTCCCCACCGGATTGCGTGAGTTACAACCTCCAATCAGACGTATCTCAAGGTCGCACCCCAACATATGGTGGCAGCGTAGTACCGGAGAGGACCACGAACGGCACCCAGCTTGAGCAACAATCCCCGAAACTCCATCCGTCCTTTGAGTTCTGGTTTGCTCTGTTCTACGACATGTGGATGCAACGATGTAAACGCGCTGTAGCGGAAGTATCCCATTCGCAACCACAGAATCAACCGATTGACTATCGATTACCATCGGCGCATAGAACATCCGTATCACCTCAGACTTCTTTAACCGTATCCAATACCGCTTTGACGCGAGACTCCTTTGGGGGACTTAGCAAGAATGCAGCGCCACCAATTTCAGTGTTTTCGCCAAACAAGCCGTCTGGCTTCGAATGTAAGCAATCGTTGTCTACAAACTTTTCAGAAACCAATGCTCATTCTACGGTGGCCCTGGGTTTCGTCGAAAAGCCATTCATAAAGTCATACGAATCCCCACGCAAAAACCATGTTCTTACCATCAACGCCTGCCTTGATAACGTGGTCCGTACTCAACGTTCAGTGGTGTTTGAATCTTCGACGCCTGACGCCCTATCTTCCTCATCTCAACGCGCAACAACTATCTTGTGGGCGGCTAAGGCCAATAAAGCCAACAAAAATCCGACGCGGAGAGTGACAAACGGCAATACACTAAACATATCCCCAAATGAAACTCATCACTCAGTGTTTCCACATGGACCCTTCCAAATCTCCCCCATGGTAACTAACCTCATACGATCCACAGACTGGCCGACTGGACACAGTAGTCCATTTGCTCCTCCGGGCTCCCCAATGCAGGCCTACTGGGCCGACAAACCCAATGCACCTATTAGTACCGACATCGTTGGCGCAGTGCATTCCAGCGCAGCTTTTAATGCAAAGCCAGGTGAACCGAACCGAAGATCTCGTGGCTATCGTTCACTTCCTTTTCCGTTGACCAAACGTGACGGTCGAATGCACTACGAGTGCAACGTGTGTCGCAAAACGTTTGGCCAACTCTCCAACCTGAAAGTGCACCTGCGTACTCACACGGGGGAGCGACCGTTCCGTTGTCAGTTGTGCGACAAAGGATTCACACAGCTAGCCCACTTGCAAAAACACAATTTGGTTCACACGGGTGAGAAACCACACCACTGTAGAGTGTGTGAGAAGCGATTTAGTAGCACAAGCAATTTGAAAACGCACATGCGATTACACAGTGGGGAGAAGCCATTCACATGTAAGATATGCAACGTGAATTTTAGTCAATTCATTCACTTGAAACTGCATAGACGCCTGCACGCTACAGAGCGCCCGGTGACATGTCCCAAATGTAACTTGAAGTGTGTGGATGCAGCGAGTTTACAGCAACATTGGAGACACGAGAAGTGTTACGATGGAGACGAATTACCACCGGAGGACCATACAGTCGCATTCCCGAGTCAAGTGAACAAGCATACAGGTACGCTTCCGCATGCGGCGAGTGGATTTCATGAGTATGACTTGTTCTGTGTTCGAAACATCAACCACCAGATACCAAGCAATGTCTTTGACCCTAGAGGATGTGTCGGGATGGAGGATACAAACAGGAAGATGGACTTTGCTGTGCGACCGGGAACTGGGATGACCCAATTTCTTAACCCTGTGGATCACGCATGCAACCGTTTCCGTAAGCCAGTCAGCTCCAACTACAACGGCTACGGTTGTGTCGTAAGCAATTCTTTAGGCCAATGCATACAATACCGTTAACCAAGTGCGTAACACAAGTGATTCGAAATGATGGCTGTGCCTTTAAATGCATCAACTATTTTGCATATTTCTCATGTGTAAATATCCCGGTGTCCTTGCAAACCGTTGAATGATTTTAATGTGTATATACAAACACACGCACGTCGTTACAATCCACATGAGGTTTTTCAAGTGAAATGATTTGTGTAGAAATGGTGACTGAGGTGTGGAGAAGGGAGTTGGGTCGCAAACATGCGCATCGACTGGATGGTTAGTTCATATGCCCCCCTTATTATGGACAGGTACAGGTATGTGAAACGGACATGTGCAAACGCGACCCATTACAGGAGTTGGTGACAGTATTCTTGGGAAATCGAAGGCAGACACAATCCAACAGTGATACAGAAACTGACTGTCCAGTTCCGTTGCAGTCTGTTTACCCTATTGATGATTTTGCATAGGAACGGCAATCACAGACGTTTCTATAGACCGGGTTGGGTATTGAGCGGGAGAGATATTTGTGTTGCCACTTACTAAGACGGTAGATGGAAAGCCCCCGTGTCCCCCTTGGGCTCCGTTCCTCAGGCAAGAGGAGCGGGAGATTTTCAGGTGGAAAAGATCAGTTGTCCAGTACATGGTTGACGTTCTCCTTAAGTGTAAGTGCACACTTTCCCGGTGGAAAGGCGACTAAGCAACTAGACCATATTCTTTTAATTCGCACAGATATGTGGGTATGCAGACTATGTCAGAAACGTTGCAATGCTTGCTCGGGTGACGTCTAAATGTGGACTTGAAACCGAAGCTGTCACTTCCGATGTTGAACTTCGGTTAGGATTTCATGTCTAACCTCATTGAATATGTGGTTCTAATGCTACGGATTGCAGATACAAGTAATAACACGAAAAACCGGAATGTCAACTCAGATACGGTTCCTAAAATGGAAGCATAAAGTAGATAATGAGGCTGTATGAATATAGTCCTGCTCTACCACAACACCATACCGATATGACGTAACGGGCTTGACTACCAACTGTGAAGAGAGGTCGAATACATCTACACTCAGTAGCTAAAGGTTGGGAAGCTTCTGCTCCTTTAAGAAAGGATCCCGTTGGTCAGTCTCAATTGAGTACCTATATTGGCACACGTTTGCCTTATAAATCAGGGATATTGAGTTGCGCAACTTCAGTGCCAGAATCCAATGATCATTCCGTAACTTCACCGAAACAGATAATGAACGGCGGTAAAAGCTAATAGGGACAAATCCATACATATGCGAAACTCTGACAATTCATTGCCCAAATGTTTCAACCTACTAGGAAACACATGGAACGACAGAGACGACGGCATTCGTAGTACTTCGATTTTGTGAGATACCACCTAAATATTTTAAAGTGGCTGTTTACTACCAGAATCTTTAAGAGTAGATAGTTGTAGTTCTGAGGGTAAACAACAATTCACGCGACCACCAACAGCTTAGGTGTTCAGCTCCCTGGGGTCAGCAAATTGGGTGAAGATCACAAGCTCGTGCTAAAAGAATCATTTCTCATTGGCCCTTTCTTCTGTTTTAACCCCAAAGATACGAAAATATCTCTCAAATTTGCTAGATTAACTGAGGAGGGAATGTGAGGAGACCAGGCACGGTGTATATCTCAACAGACTGCAGCGAGTTCAGAGCTCGACAAAATGATGGATACCACGAACAGACTAGAATTTAGGCATTTTGAAAAGCCATCCTTTAAAAAGTGCATCATCCGCCTATTTATCATTTCCCGTCTATAGGCAGAGTTTGAGCCAGAGAAGCGGTTTTCAATAACTAAGGATTAGCCTGTGTTCAGGCACACCATTTAGGGAGAATCGCTCGTCTGTTTTGAAATGTCTCTAACAAGTTACTGCCTTGTGTAGCATGAGTGTTATTTTATCAAAGTGATTTTACATAGGTCTTCAAATACCTTACTCATATCGCGTCTGAATACATCCGGCCACACGGGCTCCGGAAACGGTTTCATGACCATCTATTCCATACATGAGTGGTTCTCGCAGGGATCCCGTAGACATCTCTCATCCGTTGTTGAAGAAATAAGTGGAAGAACGTACAACGTACATTATTGTATACGTTCATCATACTTGTCAACCCTCGAAATTTTGACAGGCTTGTATGATTGCTTCTGGAGGTACCGCGCCAGATTTATTGTGTAGCCAATCTCCTTTGCATCCACAACGGGAGAGTGGTACTTGGTAAACTTCCTATCAGTGATTTCCCGGGCTAATCGACACTTTAAGACCTAGTATATACTGCCACATATTTGGGCATTTCCAACGTAGCAGCGATGGTTTTTCCCAGCGCGTCATCCAGTCACTCGGTTCTACCACTTTGGGTTTCCTACAGGGGGTTACAGCAATCTGGACCGCCAAACCTGAAGTCTTTGGGTATTCTCTTAGGCGGAAAGAGAAGTATCGTCCATCCAGTATGTTGTCAATACCGACACCACAGGCTTGATAATCGCGTGCCAAGGAGACAGTAGCCTCGGCGAAGGCGTTGCAACATCTCCCTTGGCCTTCGGTTCCATCTGACCACGTGACAATGTTTGTATCGAAAGATATTGGCTAGTTATCATTTGGGCTTTAGAACTCTCACTGTATGTCTGGACTGCGATACACTATCTAAAGTTATATGATGATTTAGTTTGGAGTAGATTTATTTGGAACAATGAGACGCTGGTATAATACGTGAGAAAAAACCAAGGCTGGATAGGTACCGTGGGATGGTTTGTGTGAAATGCCCGAGTTCAAAAAATGGGACATTAAGATGAAACGCGCGTCCGTGGGCTCTCTGCCATAGTATCCAGATTAACACACATGTATATCCGTTTACCCCGCTTTCGTGGGGGTTGGAGAGTAGAATGTTTATCTGCGGTTTCTCGCCAGTCGATGAACAGAATTCAAGTACTGCAGACGGTGCAATGCGTTGTCGGTTTGTTTTTTAAACATTGTTTTGTGGGCGCAGAAACTACAAAGATATAAATAACGTTATACTGCATACAAATTCTAAGGGAAAGATAATTCCGTCGGCATTTCAGTTGACTGTATTGGGCGGCCAGCTTCAGATGGTGACCCCCCAAATTTGCTTTGCGGCTAAATTTTAGGAGGTAGCGGAAAGAGTAACCGGAGTTGTACAAGAGCTGGTACGTCAGGATGTGGTCGCCCCGTAAACGGTGATACCTTTCGCTGTAAAGTTATAGGGTTTTCAGCTTCAGATGGTATGGCAGGTGGAATAATCCCTTCAGATTTTTGGTTACTCTTCGCTGTTGGGTCTCCAGTGTAACAAGATCACATTTTGGTCAAGGTTGCCAAGCCTGAATTGTGTACTCTACATGGGACCTCACTTACACATAGAGGATTTGTGGGAAGATGGAGAGGTCGAATCGTCCGAACGCCATCCATAAGCGAGCAACATGTTAGTTTGCGGTTTTGGACGCCTTCAAAGTCTGTGCCGAACAACCAGGGTTAGTGTCGCACCCCATCCCAAGGTCGCGATCCTGTGAAACGGTCTTCGAGATCTGACCTCCAAGCTTTTTGCCTTGGTAGGCATGTGACATGCATGTATAGTTTTACACCTGAGCGCGTTGAACGGAAGTAGGCTTATCATTGACCATTCACAAGCAAGACTTAAGTCTTGTTGCAGCAAATCTGATCATCCTGTCTACCAGTCGCTCAACATATCTTGATGTCATCGGCGAAAAGTAGGAAAGTTGACTCGATGACACGCCCGATGTCGTTAATGAAGAACAAGAATAAGCGCGGCCCAAACACTGATCAGTGTGGAACACCGCAGTCCACATCATTAGGATCAGAAACTGGGCCCCGACCCCGAACCTGAAGCTTGCGCTGTAGAAGAAAATTTCCGATCCATCCAAGGACATGGTTTGAGGATTGTGGGGAAGGATTCGGGGGTATAATTGGTCGAAGGGTTTAGAAAGTTAGGTAGTTGCCATCAGCGCGGGTACAACCAGCGGCTATTTCGATCCAACTGCCACGCGCAATCAGTATATTGGTAGTACATGACCGATGCTGACGGAATTCGTGTTGCTTCGTCGCTATGAGTTTAGATCTTTCTAAATAGCCTGTTAGTTCCCTAGCTATGATCGACTCCACCAGCTTTGAGAGCACTGGGAGGAGAATCACTGGGCGATAGTTGGGAGGCGCCATGTTTCCAAACGTCAAGAACCACTTGTTCATCTAGACAACTTTGAAAGAAGCGGATTAATAGCTCTGCTAACATCGTAACTGCTACGTGCAGAGTTTTCGGGGGAATGTTGTAAACGGCGGGGGAACTGTGGGTGCGCAACGATAACAACTTCCTCAAAACAGTCGCTGAACTGAACTTGACATGTGGACAAACCGGAGTCTGGGAGAATGGGACAGGTATGTGAACCTGTTGGTAGCGCGCCGAAATACTGAAGCATACTTGGAACGTTGGATGCATCCTCGGCAGTTCGAACACATCCGTCTGTTGATAATAGTGGTGGAACACCACGCTTCACATTCCGGAGGCTGTTCACATGTCTGTACAGAAGTCTTTGTTGACACAAAACCTTTTCGCTAAGCTCTGCTGATGTGCTACGCTGTCCACACTGACAAGTGGGGTACAATGATTACGCTGCACAACATAGTTGCGCCAGTTTGTTTTGTACGTACGTCACGCTGTGTCTCTTACTGCAATGCGTTTTCAGCTTCTGCTCCGAACGAATGATAGTGGGTTTGCAGACGAAGGGACTTGTTTGTCGACGCAAGTTTATTTGGATCTCTGAACTTGCCAGCAAACCATCCAGGCGATATCAATAGAACAGTCGTCCGTAAACTCAGATGGCTTCCTCAACAAGTTCTATGGATCTTTTCCAGTTAAGCCCCGCCACTAATGCAAAAAGAGCACGCGCAAAAAGTTAAGCCCCGCCACTAAGGCAAAAAGGGTACACCTGAAAAGTCAAGCCCCACCAATAGTGCAAAAAGGGCACGCGTGAAAT